GGAGTATGGATAGCCTTTCACAATGTAATTCTAGGAGCTTACTGAAAATAATTGCTTTGGCAATATTTTGTCCTGTTTTTACACACCAAAAAAACTGAACTGCAAAACCTTGATTAGGCAGACTTTACTGTATAATGCACTCTTCATTGTGGAAAGACTCAAAATAATTGGACACAACATGAAAGAATGACTCAAAATGATAGACATATTAAAAAAGTTTAGGAAGTTTAAATCTATGCAAATTTGATTTCTTTAGTAAGGAAAACATTTCCTAATACTTCCATTTAATATTACGATTGCAAAACCAATCATTTACAAGTATGGAGCAGACAAGAAAAGTAAAATTTGGCCAGAATATGGGATATATAGCTAGTAGGCTGTCTAAAACTGAAGAATGACAGAAGACTGAATTCTATATTACATGCAAGAGGTCTTTGAAGAAAATTTATTAGATCTGGTCAAAGATTTTTTGGCATTTACAGTATGTACAATTTGTATATAGTAACAGCTTTATATAAAATTATGTTACAGCTAATGACATCAAAGGAACAGCTGGAATGTCTTTTGTCTTAAATCAAAAAAATAAAGTAATTAGACCAACCACTGTTCTTGATATACTTAATCATTACATGAAAAGTTGGTCTGCAATTTAGTAGGCAAAGCAGAAAAAAAACCTTATCATTTACAGCAGAATTAAACAAAACCATCTCTCTCTTTCTCTCTCTAACCAAAAGACCTGAAATATATGTCCCTTGCCCTTCACTGTGTGTGGCCTTCAATAACAGAAACAAGCTTGAACTGTTTTATTTCAGTTTTGCTTCATTTCTCCGCAAACAATCTCTCACTGCTAATCTACCAGGCTTTTATCCCCCTGCAGAATGAAAAAGAATTAACTGTTTAGGACCAAGTCATAAAAGTGGACCAACTCAGCATCTGTTTTTATGACTTTACTCTACATTTATTTACACTTTCTGCTTCTTCAATAGCAAACATCTTTCATTTTTAGACTTTGGGTTTATATCTTTTATGAACCATTGTAGGAATTATGATTACAATTTTAACGTAAGAAAATTAGTGACATTTAATTTTGTGCAAGAGTTTTTAGTATCTATTGCTTAGATAAAATAGGTTCAATTCTGAAGCTCAGCTCTTATGTTTAATATAAGATACAATCCATGTAGTTGACAACTATAAGGGCTGCAAACAGAAATGTGAAAGAATAATTTTAGAGCATGTTACAAAATAGAATTTACAGAGAAAAAAGCACATCCTATTTCAACAATAAAATTGCATACACATACATACAAATAGTTATATTGAAAAAGTATTCCCATTTTACTGTACATAGTGGGTGCATCTGCACATGACCCTGACTACACAGTTGGTACTGCAGTCATTTAGTACTTGCTAAAGTAGAGTTGCACATTAAAGCATGTACTAAATGACTGTGCAGTCCCAGCACCACATGGGTCATTTTTAATCCTACTGTGCAGTAACAATGAGCTACTGTGTAGTAGCAGCAGTGTCACGGTTAGTGCCTGCTGATGCTACGTCCCCATGAAAATGAGCTACATCGCTGTAGCTCATTGCTATGGTGATGGAGCATCTCATGTAGACCTGCTCACAGAGGAACTTATTATGAGCTCAAATTGTTGTCATTCCAGTAACATGAATAGAATTATTCCTGAATGATACCTGTGCAAGAGAGGATAGGATTGCTATCTAACATGATAAATGTTTATATCACATCATGCCTACAAATTATTATAGGCTTGTCAATTTTATCACAGAGTTATCACCCTGTACAGATATATACATCTGTACAAATGCAGAAGCGTATGTATGTGTGTGTACATGGATATATATACACACAAATATACATTTTATGTGCACATATACATACATATACATATACATACACAACTTCATATTTGTGCTTGGGGGTGATATACCTGTTATAAACCAAACAAGCCTGTCTTAAAATTTTCAAATGTCTCATCATTCAGGAACTTATTCTAGCATTCCAAAACTGCTAGTATGTTTAAAAAAACAGCCTTAATTTTAACTTGACCTTCCAGTATAGCTTTCTTTATTCTCCCTTGAAATGTGCAACTCTCTCTCCAAAATTACACCTGTCTAAAGCCCAGGATGAGCAAGAGTCAAACACAGTAACAGAGTTTCTACAAAGACAAATGACACAATGGAAGGTTGTCCTAAATTAGTAAGGGTCTACTGAGTTTGAGATTCTGTGGAAACCACAATATCAAGGATTGTCCGCAAAATGAACTTTAAAAAAATTAATAAAAACAAAATGCTGGCTCCTCAGTGGGTGCCAGCAGTCCTCACTGCCCAATGTGGCCCAGCCTCGCAGCCAGCCCAGGTGGAGGGGAAGGCACTGGCTGGAAGGGCAGCATGACGGGCAGCAAACAAGATGGTGGCTGCCACCTTGTTCCTCCACCCACCACTGAGGCCTCTCAACCAATCCATGCTGATGGGCAGGGCCACATGAATGGTAGCCAGCAGACAAGATGGCAGTTACCCCCTTGTCCCTTTTCCCCCTGCCAATGACCCATAATAACTGTCATTTTTTCTGTGATTTAAATAGACCCCGACTTACTAGTGATCAAGCATACCTTGAAATGGGAACTTTAAAGTGTTAAAAAAGAAATATTCAACATGTAATGCCATATAACAAATCCATAACAGTGATAGGTGGAATAAAGATTCTCATAACAACTGGTCAGCATAAACTAGATATTTTAATAGTAACTTTACCACTCCTGTAATATTACTGTTCTAAATTCACTTATTTAGTACTTGCTCTTCAAAACTTTAATGAACTTACTTCCATCAATGGCAGACACCTTTTAAATTCCAGGCTTTTTGATGAGTGATTGGAGGAGGAAGTTATTAGGGCCAGGAATAAAAAATCCTCATGTTTTCACGGTTCTTGTCTATCAAAAAGATACTCTTCATACTTGCTGGGAAGATAACATAAAATTCTTCAAGTTTCATAGACAGTTCTCTAAATATGTTTAAACAGCTCTGTTGTTACAGAGTCCATATTGTGTGGCATTGTATAAATATAAGGAAAAAGATATTTTGGTATTCAGGGATTTTTTAAACCATTCCACAATTTCAGATGGAATTTAGATTACACACTGATCAAATATGATATCACTTCCCACCTGTTAGATGTGTCAGGATGGCAATGAAGAATTTGGCAGCTACCCATTGAAAAACACCTGTTGGGGGATTTTCTATTACCATTTTATAAAACTGAACATACTAGGTAAAATTTTGCTCTCAGGTCTACAATTATTCCCTTAACTCTACATGGGACTGTGCAGCTTGTCCATGTATACAAAATCAGTTCAATTAGTGGTTCATTTGAAAATGGCTTAATTTTGTTTGGTAACAGGGTTCACTGCAAATATATAATGCAGTATTACTAAAAGATGCCACATCACAGCATAACATGTAAAGGTGGCAACTACTATTATTACTAATAATTTTAATCATTTAGACCCTGAACTGCAAAGACAGATAGGCATCTAACATCCACTAAAATCCATGGGAGCAGGTTCGTGTGCAGGAACTCTACATCCGAGTATCCATGAAAATCTGGGTTTAGAGCTTTCTACTTGAGTATTTCAAGCACTCACATATGAGATCATTATTTTTATAGTAGAGGCTGTTAGTAATCTCTATTACCTCCTCTCTAGCTCCCCAAATGCATGCACATTATGAGAAAAGTAAAGTGAATATCATTTAGGCTAGATATCAGGAGGTGCTACTTCACAGTCAGGGAAGCTAGGATCTGGAACCAACTTCCAAGAGAAGTGGTGCTGGCTCCTACCCTGGGGGGTCTTTAAGAGGAGGCTAGATGAACACCTTGCTGGGGTCATTTGACCCCAGTACTCTTTCCTGCCATGGCAGGGGGTCAGACTTGATGATCTGCTCAGGTCCCTTCCAACCCTACAAACTATGAAACTATGAAGAAAAGTAAAGTAAAAGACGCATTTCCGGTGTATAACTGAAGTGAAAAGAGTTACAACCTATCATGATTTTTTTTCATAAACAAATTTTCAAATAGTTTCAGCCAACAGAACCAATTGGGCCACAAGATTATGAACACAGAATCAGCCATGAACAACTTAAAAATACAACCCTCTGGTTTTTAAATAGGGGTAATGTGTTCAGAATGAAATCATTCCTGGTATTCATCTATTCTTTACGATATTATCCCCTCCTTGGAAATTTACATAAGCATTATTCTGGCCACTGGAAGAGTTGCATGTTGTTTAATAAAAGCAGTAACAATATACTGTAAGTGAAAATTGGCATATGTTAGTGACAGAGTTTTCAAAGAGAGGGCCTGGTTTTTGAGAAGTGTTGAGTATCTTGGGAATTACTAGTGCCAACCAACACTCAGAAGTGCATTTCTACAAGACAGTGTGCAATGAAATAATAACTTTTCTGTATTTCAGTTATTTACAATCATTTAGAGTACACGGAAGATTGGCTGTCTCCTTTTAATTGGAAGTTACACATTAATACTTTAATTACTTCAATTCTTCCCCTGGGAGAAGTCCAGTTTCTTGGTACAATTTCCCAATTATCTTTGAAATGCTAGATTTCCAAAGACAAGCAGCTGATTCTTTATGTTGGCCAATTTCTTCCTAAAGCTCAAAAATGCCCTTTTTACAGTACTGCATTAGGAATGCAAATGTTTTACTGAAGTTTCCACATAAATGACTAAGCCCACAACTTCCCAACCCAAAGCCATCCATACTAACCACAAGAACATTTAGTTAATTATAATACAGGAACAAAATTTATGGCATTGGAAGACACTCAGACTTCAAAATAGTAATAATGATAATAAAACATAAACAATCAGTAACTCACCCTAAACTATCAAATTACTCTCCTGAGACATATTAGTCTTAAGATTTTGTTTTCCTGAAATGTTCTGGTCCCGAAATAATGTTACTTACTGGCACAAGAAGATTGTAATGAATGCAGAATCCAGGTTCAGAAGGGAAATATTCATCAGATACAAATCTTATCCTGATCTGGTTTCCTTTGGAGATTTGTTTGCTTGGTACAGTACTGGAACCACACCAGCGCCCTAAAATAGTACCATCACTAGGTTCTTCAACTTCTACAAAGTCATACCTGAAAGGAAAAGAAAATCAATTGTTGACTGATTAATTTTCCATATAAGCTTCATGTTTTTTATCAGTATACTCTCACTGCATTTTAAAAACAAGAAATGTATTTTTCATGCTAAAGGCATGTTACTGAAACCAGTAATTTTAGTCCTAGGTTCTTCTTCCAAGTTGCTACTGGCTTAAACACATCATAAAATCATTCATTGAGGTTAAGAAAATAAAAGTGGAGTTAGCATTTTGAACAAAACTCAGAGTAGGTTTTATTTGTTCCTCTTAGGAAAAGCAAGTATAATATAGAATGGGGAGGAATAAAATAATCATAACAAAGACTATGCAGTTTTGAAGAATATGCAGTTTCAAATTATTTTTAAGGGTGGGCAAGCAATTGGTATGTGTAAAATTAGCAGTAACATTTTGCAACCGACCAGCAAAAGCTCAATGGCTTTGTTTTCAACTTACAACTCACCCTCCTCTAGTGTTGCAGGAAAGAAACCTTGGAAAGGCTGAAGTGGCATTAAGACAACAGTCCAGCAAAGCTCTTAATCAGATGGTTAAATGTAGGTATGTTTGTAGTTACACAAGGAACTTTGCTGGATAGGGGCCTAAATATATATTTATAAATATTTAATGTATATTTATATAAATATATATAATTTATATTTTATATTTTATCCCAGGCGTAGGAGGTACCAGCTGCTGAGCTGGGGGGCGCCCCTCCCTGAACACTCCCCGGCAGACCCAGAGGTGGACCAGAAGTACTTGTGGTCCACTTCCAGGTCTGCTGCTGAGTATGCTGAGCTCACTGAGCTTCTGTGGGATGTTCCACATGCCCCAGCATCTCAGCATTCATGAGCCGCCTGCTACCTAGAGGTATGTAGAAAATACATGTAAAGCTATGTCTATGTCCAAATCTCTGAATTTCTCCAAATTGATTCGGAGAGATTAAAGGACCCTCTGATTTGATTCAGATTTGCAGTTTAGGCTACCAAATCGGGCCATATCTCCACCAAATTGAATCAGGGACAAAGGTTTGCACAGCCCTAATATATATCTCCCAACCTTTTGCCTATGGTGGCTCACAGTAGAGGTGAGTTATCTGCTCTCAATGTTTTATCTTTCCTACCCACTCCATCCATCAGCTGACGCAAGAAATAGTCCTGAAGAGTAGCCCTTAGAGAAGACTGCCTTCTCTTTGACCCATCAAATAAGTAGGCTGGGTAAACAGCTGAGAACTGATTTGGTATAGCACCCAGACCTCAAAAGGTGCAGCCAATGAGAAAAGGTACAAAAGTGTAACCTTTGTGACACCTAGATCATATTTGTACCTCCTCCTTTTGCAGTTGGAGACTGGACTGACAAACAGTTCCAAGCCTAGGAACTAGGCAGTACAGATGAGTTCTGGTCACTTTTCCCTCCCTTGCAACTTATAAAGCTCTAAACAACAGCTGAGGAACCAGAACTGTCAGTGGGCTTAGGAAGCCAGCACTGCATCAGTTTCTGCCTGGCTTGCATTTGCTAGATATATTGGCAACTATTAGGGATAGACTTTTATTTTTAAATGAGAACTTAGATTCTTAGAAGATGATGGCATTTGCCTGGCAAAGTTTCCTACTCTTCATGAAGTTTTCAAGCATTTCTCATAGTTTCTTATGAAGAAAGACACGCACACTATATATTTCTTAGGGGAGTTAGGATTAAAAAATGGTAAAATGTTGTTGAATTCTTTTGTAGGAAAGAAACAGTGCTACCCACAACTTTGCCAAATAAGCCTAGCAATGTTTCATGTGAAAATTATTACTTCATAAGAATTTTCCACTGAAGTCCCCCCTCCCACTCCCCCAATAAGGCTAATTTTTATAATGATTCCCAGGTCCTTACCTAGACAGGAGGCAATAAATTCTTGTGTTGCATGTTTGTGCAAGCAAGGTTCATGCATTTATTATCTCCATTTAAAGGACCACTATTTTTACTACTTAATTAAAAAATGAATGCAGTGAACAAGCTCATTAAAATGTGTTCAAAATCTATTACTGCCATGTATTTCAGTTTTAAATCTTTGTTAAACTTATTAAATACTACCAATTGTTTTATTACCAGAATGTTTTACATTATTTTCTAAATCACTCTGATATATTAGCATAATTTGACCCTTTAATGTATATATCAATGTTTTCCTCTTAACATCACCTCTATATGTGTGCATATAATAGTATACATTAAAGAATATTTGTATATGATGATATTCTAGCATCAGAGATTTGAGACCACAGTTTGGTTTATTCTTTTATAGTCAGTATATATGAAGTTCTCTAAGCAGGTCTTCTTGTTTATGGCCTTAACTAAAAGACTAAACAACAAAACACAAAAAATTCAAAAGCTATCTTTGTTCGTTCTTCTGTTTCTTGAGTGGTGAGTAAAAACCTATGGTAGGTATTATATTTACTGACTTCAAACTGCATAGCTTTGGATGTTAGGTATGCTACAGTCACCACTGCTCCTCTGTAATTTATACACTGCTTTCCACTGTACCTTCCGGACTCCTGCTGACCTGGGGGTAAAAGAAAAATTCAAATTCCACAGAGTTTAAATCCTAGAAGTCTTTAAAATGTGCACTAATAACTCAGCAAGATGAGGGAATAACTGAATGTTCTGTCTAGCATAAAAGAGCCAGGCTTCAGCATATACAGAATAGACTCAGATAAAACAGTTTGGCCAGGGCTCTCTTTTGTATTTAGATATTTCCTTTTTGACCTTTCTACACACTATTTGCAAACAAGACTCTCTTGCAACTAATGCACTTCTGATTTTGTCTATGCATTACTAATGACATGTTAATCAAGTTTAGCTTTGAAAGACTTGAAAGCAGTTGGTATATAAAATAAAATAACCAGACCAAACAAAGATAAGATGATACATAAACCAGATGTATAACGTGCCACAGAAGTAGGAAAGTGAGATGTGACATCTGACACAGAAGTGAAAACAAAACAAAAACCAAAACCAAAACACTATCATTCGGATTATCAGAAATCCACTTGTCCCCAGGTGACCATTCTGGAGACATTGTAATCCTTATAATGCACTCACTGGTATAGTATTGCAGTAAGCACAATTGCCCAAATCACTATTTAAAGGATTTACTAAACCTGTTTTATGAGCCAATCAAACATAACTTTCTCACGGCAACATGATACAGTACATACAGCACTAAGTGGTTTATAATGATTACTCCCTTTCTTTAACATCTCTCTTGGGACCTATAAAGGATTTATGTTCTTTTATGTTCAACAAACAAGTCTGCTGTTGTAGACAAAATTTCTGGGCTCATATGGGAATCTCAGAATTGTGAAGATCTGTTTCTTACTCATGAATTCAATTGTAGGCAGAGTTTATTGCACAGAATAGTTATTAAGCCATAAAAGGAGAGAATCTTTAGAAAGTCTGTCTACATCAGCAAAAAAACAGCATGTTTCTCAGACTCACTGAAGTTCTGTCAATTAACTTTATCCTTGTCAGTTATCTTGAGTGAACATACTGGGAGAGCTTGCCAAATGGATCAGATGTGCGTCTCAAAATTCCTAACATTGCACGTGTTGACTGGAGTCTGAACTTGCTGTGAAAGATAATGAAACAAATAAGATGGCAAAGATACTTCATTGTTTACGAGCTTGCACTGCCCCAGGACAGAGTACAGTTCTGAGCCACCATGTAACAAGACTGAGCTGCAGTAGAGCAAACCACAGGTATCCAAAGCAACATTTTCGCTAGCAATCAAAACATTTCACACTTTGCAATGGAGTTACATAGATGACTATGCATAAAATAATTGCTTGCTTCACAAGGAAATCCCTTTCATCTTTTTCTTTTGCTATTGAAAAAGTTAACCTTGGAATGGCAATGCTTTCAATACAATGATTCAGAATAGAGCTAATATTAGAATCATTGTATAGAAGGCAACGCAGTTCCAAGGTTAGCTTTTTCAATAGCAGAAGGGGGGAAAAAATTGAAAGGGAGTTCCTTGTTCCATTATGTACTGTTCACATGTTACTCAGTGAAATTTGGAGATAGAGGGTGGTCTCGTCAGGAGGAATATTCCCTTTCATTTTAATCAAAATCAGACTGTATTTCTTACCTCTATCTCTGGGGTGGCATGCATATTCTACTTCTTTATGATATGTGTGCCTAGCACAGTAGACTGAATTAACAGATAATCTGTGCAAAGGGCAATTTATATGTAGAGGTCAAGGAAGCAATGGAAATGACTCTCTCTAAACTTCAAGGACTTCCCAGCCAGGAAATGCATCTCCCCCCGACCACCATATTTTTCTATGGTTTATACTGTCATTTGCTAAATATATTATGACATGCTGTTTACCTTGGCCTGGAGTTTCAAGACCTTTGTGTGGCTTCCCTCTGCCTCTAGGAATTTCACAAATAAATCAATGAATGTATGAAGCAGAAGCCCACGTGTAATACAGTTCACCATATCAACAAAGTTCGATCTTTTTGTGCTTGTATGTGTGTAAAAATTGTCATCTCCTTTATAAAATTGCTGGGCTACAGAGAAGTGTAATTTTACCCCCTTATTTTAGTTATTGATTAGAAGTTAGAATAGTTTTCTTAAGAAGAAATTGGGAATTGGAACAACCTCCCAATGGAACCTCATGTTATATCTGCTCTTCTCCTCTTATGGGCCAACGAATGGGAGGAGTGTCAGTCTCTCAGAGCTCATGAGCATCTCAAGCTCCCAGGCTCTTTGCTCCTCAGCAGTTTCTTTTTAAGGCTGATGAGAAGCCAGAATGCCCCAAGAACCCCAGCTATCAAAGTTTCCATGGTCCTGGGACAGCCCACCAAATAGGCTCCCTTAGAATCAGTTTGCCCACTACTTTGAGGCTGAAGAGCACCCCAGGAGCAGCACTCCAGACAGTCTATTCTTGAGCTGTGGCTTCTTTATGCTCCCAGCTGTGTTCCAACTTGGCAGTCTTTGGCTTGTAGAACTGCTGA